CGTTGGGCAATAGGGAGCCAGTGGAGGGATAGGCAGAGGGGGGTGGCAGAGGTGGAGCGGTTGGTGAGGTGGATGAGTCTAGCCGCTGAGTTCAGGATGGTCTGAAGCGGGGAGAGCCTGCACTGGGGTAGGCCGGTGAGGAGGGAGTTGCAGTAGTTGAGGCGTGAGATAATCAGGGAGTGTACGAGTATTTAGTGGTGTCTGGGGTAAGGAAGGTGCGTATTTTGGCGATGTTGCGAAGGTGGAGCCTGCATGTGTTTGTAAGTGATTTGACATGAGGTTGGAAGGAGAGGTTTGAGTCCAGAATGACGCCAAGGACTTTGGCTTGCGGGGCGGGATTGATGGTGGTGTTGTTGGTAGTGATAGATAGGATGGGGGGGCGCGCGGGCAAGGGGGAAGACGAGAAGCTCGGTTTTGGAGAGGTTAAGCTTGAGGAAATGGAGCGACATCCAGTCAGAGATGTTGTTTAGGAGGTGAGTGATGCGGGCGGAGAATGTGGGGGTAAGGTGGGGGGTGGAGAGGTAAATTTGAGTGTCATCAGCGTAGAGGTGGTAGTTGAAGCCGTGGGAGTGTATGAGTTTGCCAAGGGAGGAGGTGTAGATGGAGAAGAGAAGGGGTCCAAGGACAGAGCCCTGGGGGACCCCAACAGAGAGGGGGAGGGAAGGGGAGGTGGCACTGTTGTAGGAAACGCTGAAGGAGTGTCGGGATAGGTAAGAGGAGAACCAGGAGAGAGCGGTGTCTCTGATGCCAAGGGAGGGAGAGTAGTTTATTAAGGAGGAGGGGGTGGTCGACTGTGTCGAAGGCCACGGAGAGGTCCAGGAGGAGGAGGACAGAGTAATCGCCTTTGGCTTTGGCGGTTAGTAGGCCGTTGGTGATTTTGAGGAGGGCGGTTTCGGTGGAGTGTAGGGGGCGGACTGTAGTGGATCAAGGAGGTTGTTGTCAGTTAGGTGGGCGCTTAGGCGGTCATAGACTAAGCGCTCAAGGAGTTTGGAAGTGAGTGGCAGCAGGGAGATGGGTCTGAGGTTGTTTGGGTCAGTGGGGTCCAGGGAGGGCTTTTTGAGTATGGGGGTGATGTGCGCATGCTTTAGGGGGGAGGGGAATACGCCGGTAGAGAGGGAGAGATTGAAGATGTGGGTGAGGGAGCAGATGAGGGGAGAGGGGGGGTGACCGGAGGAGTTGAGAGGGGATAGGGTCCAGGGGGCAGGTAGTGAGGCGGGCTTCTGAGAAGACCCTGGTGACTTCCTCAGTGGTAGCGGGGCTGAAGGAGTGCAGAGCTGGGGGGGTTACGGTAAGCGGGGTCTTGGGTGTGGTGGGGGGCAGTGCGGTTGCAAGGTCAGAGGAGGGAAGAGATGAGGGGAGAGATAGGGGGGGAGAGGCTAGGTGGGGAGGTAGATTGCGAGTTGACTATGTCCTTACGGATTCCATCAATCTTGTTGTGGAAATGAGTGGCAATCTCGCGGGCGGTGAGTGAGGTACTGAGTGGAGGAGGGGGGGGAGAGAGTAGGGAGTTGAAGGTGGAGAGGAGTCGGCGAGGGCAGGAGGAGAGGGGTGTTGATCAGGTTTACGAAGTAAGCCTGCTTGGCGGCGTGGAGGGAGGAGGTGTAAGTGAGGAAGGCAGATTTGTAAAGGGAGAATGCACGAGGGGACCTGGTTTTGCTCCATAGTCTCTCTAGCGCCCGATTGCGGCGTTTGAGGCATTTAGTGTGGTCATTCTGCCATGGTTGAAGCGGTCTAGGTTTGATGTAGCGTGTGTGTTAGGGTTGCCAGAGAGTCTAGGGTAGCTGAAAGTGAGTCGTTGTACGTGGTGGTGGCTAGGTCAGGACATGTCAGTGGAAGGATGCTGTCGTGTAGGTGGTCGGCAGCCGAGTGGAGGGGGGGCCGGGTTCAGGTTGCAGAGGTTGCGGCTGGTGATGGTTTGGCACTCTGAGGGGGGAGTTAGGAGAAGGGGAGATGGAGAACGCGAGGAGGTGGTGGTCAGAGAGAGGGAAGGGGGTGTTAGTGAAATGGTTGAGGGTACAGAGGTGGGAGAAGATCAGGTCCAGGGTGTTCCCATTGATGTGGGTAGAGGATTGAGTGTTCTGTGTGAACGCGAAGGAGGAGGTTAGGTGGAGGAGTTGAGAAGTAGCCGGGCTGTTGTCGTTCATGGGGATATTGAAGTCCCCAAGGATGATGGTCGATAGCTCAGAGGAGAGAAAGAAGGGAAGCCAGGCGGCGAAGTCATCCAGGAAGCGGGGTATGGATCCGGGAGGCCTGTAGATCACTGCGATCCTTAGGGGGGTGGGGGTGAAGAGCCGGATGCAGTGAGCCTCAAAGGAGGAGAAGGTTAGGGAGGGGGGGTTAGGGAGGCCCTGGAAGGTGCTAGTGGTGATAGGAGCAGGCCGACACCACCACCTTTGTGACCGCTCAGTCTTGGTGAATGGGACCAGACGAGACCTCCATAGGAGAGTGCCGCAGGGGAGGTGGAGTCAGTGGCCTGTACCCAGGTTTCGGTGATGGCTAGGAGGTTGAGGGAGTAGGAGATAAAGAGGTCATGGATGGCGGTAAGCTTGTTGCAGACTGAGCGGGCGTTCAGGAGTGCAACCGAGAGAGGGGGGATGGATGCGGGGAGGAGGGGCACAGGTATGAGGTTGAGGGGGTTACGGTGGCTGGCGGGAGCAGGGGGGTCCCTAGAGGAGGGGTGAGGTGGTGAGGGGCCAGGGTTCGGGGAGATGTCCCCAGCGGATAGGAGAAGGAGAAGGGTGAGGAAGGTGGCATGAGCAGGAGCGTGTGGGTCTGATAGTGGTGTCACGTGGGTCGACGGGGGAGTGGAGTAGCAGGAGGAGGTGGTCAGTGCCATAGTGGGGAGAGGGGAGAAGTGAAGGGGCAATGTAGAGCTGTTTTGGGGGGTAGGTGGGTAGAGGGAGGTGATTTTTGGGATGGTGGAGGAGGAAAACGAGGAGGAGTGCAGGTGGCATGTTGGGGTGAGTGGAGTAATGTTCGGGTCAGGGGAGGTGAAGGGATACAGGTCGGGGCAAGGTGATGTGGGGAATCTGTATCACCGTGGAGGAGTCCATTTGAGTCCTTCTGTAGGGGGAGAGTGAGGGTGGAGGGGCGGCAGCTGGCTGGCTGCAGTCTGTGGGTGCAGTATGCTGGCGTCCGTGGGTGCTGCGGCACGTCTTCAGTAGGTCCGGTGGTTTGGCGAGCGGAGGGGTCATAGGGTGCGATGACTGGGGGTGTTGGTAGGCACGGCGACTGGTGATGCTGGCGGCTCGGTGACTGGAGATGTTGATGCCAGGCGTCAGGTGCTGAGGGCTCGGCGTCGGGAGGCGCTGAAGGTGCTGAAGGACGCAGCATCAGGAGGTGTTGAAGGGTCGTCGTCAGGGTCGAGCGGAGCGTCGCATTAGCGATAGTCGGCCCTACGTGGTTTGCGCTCCTCCGTGATTTGTTGCAGCCGGTAGGAGAGACCGTGGCTTCAGGGGTCGTGGTGGGCCACGAGTTGCCGGGGTTTCGCCAGAGGGAATGGGGTGGTGGGCAGGCAATCCCTGGTGGGATGGTGGCCGTGCTATCCCTGGTGGGGTAGTAGCAATCCCTGGAGGGATAGTGGCTTAGGGTCCCTGGTGGTTTGGGGTTTCTGGTGGATGGTGGGATCCCTGAGTGTGTCCCTGGTGGCTGGCGGCGTGATGGTGGTTGGGCTCCCTGGTGGGTAGTTGGTGCCTCAGGTGGAGTACCTGGTGTCCTGGGTCCTGGAGCGTCGGGGTGGAGGTGGATGGTGGGATCCCTGAGTGTGTCCCTGGTGGCTGGCGGTGTGATGGTGGTTGGGCTCCCTGGTGGGTAGTGGGTGCCTCAGGTGGAGTACCTGGTGTCCTGGGTCCGGAGTGTCTGTGGCCCCTTCAGGGTGTTGGTGGGGACCTCGGCAGCAGGCTCAGGGGTCCGGATGGCAGCGGATGGGGAGCGGGGGCGCCGGAGCTGGCGAACAAGAGGCTGCTCCGGGCAAGCTGGTACCCGGTGGTCGGGGATGGACCCAGGGCCGGTGACCGGCCCTGGGGAGGCTGGCTGAATGGTGGGGACCGAGGAACGGAGCGGAAGATGAGCTCAACACTGTGCTGCTGCTCCTTTCACTGTCTAGTCACAGACTGGAGCAGTTCTAGACAGAGAGGGCTCAAAGGAAGTGGGTTTAATGATGCTAGCTATCAGACTGATGACAACTAGCAGCAAAAAAAACTGCAGAGAAAATCTCTGGATTGCAGCTGAACATTAAAGCAAAATCTAGATTTATTCTATTATCTTTTAAGGGGCTATTACATTTTACTTTATTATTTTTACTGAAATTCTTCTTTAACCACCTCCTTCCCACCATATAAGGAAATGATGGCTCTTTCGTTCTGGGAGGACGTCATATGACGTCCTCCCACTCTAACTGCGCATGCGCACTGATCCCTGGTGCGCTGTGTCCCTTGGACACAGCAGATTACAGATCACAAGAGCTGATGACACAGGCTCTGTCATGTGATCAGCTGTGTCCAATCACAGCTGTTTGCATGTAAACAGGAAAATACTGGTTATCGGCAGTCGTCTCCTCATACTGATAAGCTTGAGAAGAAGAGAGCTGATATACTGCATTCCTCGGATGGGACATCTACACTGATCATCAGGACACTGATGATAAGTGCCCTGATGATCAGTGTAACCCCATCAGTGCCACCTGTCAGTGCCCATCAATGCCACCTGTCAGTGCCAATCAATGCTACATACCAGTGCCTATCAGTGCACATCAATGCCACATATCAGTGCCTACCAGAGCACATCAATGCCACATATCAGTGCACATCAGAGCTGCCTTTCAGTGCCAACTATCAGTGCCAGTCAGTGCCGCCAATCAGTGTCACCTGTCAGTGCCAGTCAGTGCTGCCTATCAGTGCCCGTCAGTGCCACCTATCAATGCCCGCCAGTGCTGCCTATCAGTTCTATATATGAGTGCTGTCTTTCAGTGCCCATCAGTTATGCCTGTCAATGCCCACCAGTGATGCATGCCAATGCCCATCAGTGCCACCTACCAGTGCCTCGTCATCAGTGTCACCTATCAGTGCCCATCACTGCAGCCTCATTAGCGCACATCAGTGAAGGAGAAAAATTACTTAATTACAAATTTTTTAACAAAAACTAAGAAAAAACTTGTTTCTTGTTCCAAAATTTTCAGTCTTTTTTAGTTTGTTTAGCAAACAAAACTGTGGTGATTAGATACCACCAAAATAAAGCTCTATATGTCTCAAAAAAAGATACAACTTTTGTTTGGGTACAGTGTTGCATGACTGCGCAATTACCATTCAAAGTGCGACAGCGCTGAAAGCTGAAAATTGACCTGGACAGGAAGGGGGTAAAAGTGCCCAGTAGGCAAGTGGTTAAATAATAACTCATTACAAGGCTATTAGCCTGCATTCAAAGTTGCTTTTATTTTGCTATACATTCCTTTTCTAGTCTCTTACATGATCTCCAATGCCAACACTTCCCCATTTGTTATACTGTAAACATGTTTTTATTCTTCTGGGAATTGCTGTTCTGATACAGTTGTACCTGTTATACAAAAAATACATTTGTAAGTGCTGTTCTTTCATCTTTCACTTGCTTTCCATATGTTTCTGTGTTGTAATCTACTTTTCCAGAGGGAGAATACTCCACTTAATAACAATCACAGCGGGAGCAAATATTCACTTTTCCAGAATCTACTAACAGCAAATTTAAAACAAACCAGGTACTCTGCTTTTTTCACTGTTTGAATTTTTCATAGTCTATTTATTTAAATAGGCCACATGAATACAAATGGAATGTCTATCTTCAGTACAGAGAACATCCTCCGATATTGTTGTTTTTGTTTCTTTGAGATCTAAACGATACATATGATTTACAGTAAAATTACTTTTTCTCCAAAAATTACATTTTCAGGATATTAAACTAAGCTGCATAATTCATATAATGTTTTGGAATAGGTATAGAAACGTATGTTTGTACTCTATAGATCTGAACAAAATAGATTCTGTTTATGTGAATATAGTTAGGAGAATTGTGTTTTGAGAGCCTGATGAATTTTTATGTTCAGGTTGAATTTATAGACAACAACTGCTGCATTCTGTATGCCTAAAAAAGCAATATATGCAACTGTTTCACTGATATGTTACTCCATGTTCTGTTGGTGGGCTTATTCCATAATGCTGTGTAAAATCATTCAGTATATGGAAAGGCCAGTAACCCACTATGACCACTTATCTGTTTCATCAGTTAAATAAAATTCTACCAGTAATAATATGTGCAGAATAAATATCTTATTTTTAAACCAAACATTTAGATTGTATTGTCTTTTATGTCTGCTCCTACGTCACTAAATATATTTTACACATACATTGTTACATATTTAAAGGATAAGTTCACCTTTGGGAACATGTTACATATTCCACCTGTTTTAGGGTAGAACATGTAATGTGTTCTTACTGCTGCAGCTGCCACCCACTGTCCTCTCCCCTGTGACAGCAGTACGAGGAGAAGTGCCCCGTACTAGCCGACACGTTTTGAAAAAGCGCAGCCGTGCAGGGCTCTGCCCACCTGGCCGCATCATTCATTCACAGAGTTTTGTGAATGAATGAACTACAAATCTGTTGTAGTTCATTGAGTCTTCCTTTCAGAATTGTATCTGCTTGCCCTTATGGGATGTACGGGCACACAAATACACTGACAGGTTTGCAGGAGTCCTGCATGATAACAGCGATCTGCTGATCACTGGTGAAATGCTTTCCAGGCTCAATGTAAATGCCCATTTTTTTTTTCCAGCAAAAAAAGCCATTTTTTAAAAAGTGAACTTATCTTTAAATAGCATATTTGACATTTCTCATGAGGGATGAGCTGAGTGCACCTGGGTTTGGTTCAAGGCTGAAAGTTAAAAAACAGTAATGACAATTTTATAAGATAATAGCAAGGGATTGTCAATCGAATGACACAGGAGAATGGACATATGTACCAAAGAGAAACAGACAAAAAAAAACAGTTTGGCAAGAAGCAGTGATTTTGTAAATTCTTTAATTGTGACATTAAAAAAAAACCTTAAATAACATACCTATGGAATGCTCTTAACCTGCCTGTGAAGTGGCATTTTTGTATGATGTATACAATCTACTGCAGCAAAACTGGCATCTCCAAAGCAAAAAAAATGCTTTAAAATTGCTGGTTACTTTCCTTGTATTTGTAAACAAATGTGCAGGGATTCCCTTCCTTATACTAGACTCATATCATCGATGAGGGTCTTATGTGAATATAATGGGGAACCCCACACAAAAGAATCAAAACACTGTGGGGCTCCTTCCAAATTCCATACTATGCAAAAACAAAAAAGGTTTATCAGACCCTTAACTAAGTATACAGCCTGTCTGATCAGGAAAGGGGGAGGACCGGGGTGCTCCCATACCTCCAGAACCACACCAGGTCACATGTCCTCAACATGAGGGGTATCATGCCAAAGGGTATCCTTGTCCCCATATTGATGAGGACAATGTTGTATCAAGGCAGTATCATGTAATCTACATGTTTTTATTGATATTTCTTTTTTATTGCTTCTAGTTCTCAGCACTGAACACCAACTATGAGTGACTGTATATTAACAATAACTATATTTACTGCAATGTGCACATTAGCCTGAACCTAGGGTAGCATTAGAACACTTTTATTTCATTTCTTTTTGACTTGCCATGGCTTGCCTGGGCAAATGTTGATCAGTCAATCAGCAAGATCAATGTAGAAGTGAATGATTCTAGCGTAGCAAGGATCTATGCCAAATAAGTAATATGCATGTGTCTTCTCTTTCTCTACAGATTCTCTGAAGTAGAATTATAGGCAACACTTTTTTAATCATTTTGGATTGAGTGAGGGAGGGGTATACCCCTGTCAGTTTTTTTTTTCCTTACAACTTTGTCATATTAGGGAGATTTAACTTCACTTCCTGTCCTGTAGTCATTTAGGAAAAAATCCCTGCACATTATGGGAATCCCCTGAGACCCCCTAGGCCACCAAAACTAATGTTCCCATTAGAAAATTTCTCCTCTATTACTTTCCTGGGGACAGCCCAAACCTTGGGATTTTTTTACATTAGCTTTCAGTAATTATGGTAAACAGGACAAATAGAGTTAATATTTGATCCAACCCCACAAGGCCTTTTGGTTTATACTTTAATAGAAATGGGCATCTCTTCTGGAAATACTTAGAGAAGTCAATATGTTAATCTGTCAGGGGTGATAAAGCTAGAAAGGAATTCATTTACTGCATGCCATGTGGAATGTGGTGTTCACGTAGCCGATTGAAATTCAGTGTTTCTTTTTTCTAATCCTCCAGTTCTCCAGATTTTATCAATTTATTTGTCGTTATAAGCACCCAAATACATGAAGCATTAATGAACCTTCTTATATAGTGGGAGGCACATGAAAAGTTTTTAAGCAGTTGGAACATTCAATAAGTAAAACTGCATCTACCTTAGGATGCGATTGCTAGAAAATGCTTCAGCTCCTATTACAGTAGCAGCCAGCAGCTGTCTTGCATGACTGTATAGCAAGCCCATTCCGATTAATAATTAGCAGTTATCTGGCTGACTCACCGTTACCACCAACTTGTTAAAGGCTTTTCAAACTCAACACTTAACATGACTTTTGTACACATCAGTACTATGGGGTCTGGAACCTTTCATAGAACACATAACTCTAGTAATTTTTCACAGATACCGGAGCCTCACCCCAAATTAAACAATAGACACAGAGGCTGTTTTATTTAGCTGATCTCCAAGTCACCTTCAAACAGATAGAACTGGGCTCAAGTCACCAGGCAGCATCACAAAATGTGTGCAATTCATCACCCCAAGAAAGTGCCAGTGGAAACTAAAAGAAGTCACCAGCAGAGCACAACCTTTTCCCTTTGCATGCCCCAGCAGTACCATTATACTGTCTATATTGAAAGATCTTGCAGCAATCATAACAGTGTCCACAGGGAATTTGTTTTATTTCAAAAAATAGAATCTTTACTGAAAAATGAAAAGAAAAGCAAAGATAACATTTACAGAATTGAGTGGCATCAGGTAGATGTCATAGAAGCATAGATGGTTAGAATCTCGGCTGGTTTAGCAGGGACCATCTATGGATGGCTATAGTTTCTGAAATTGACAGCTTTGCACCCAGTCCTGAGTGAGGAGGCTCCCATTTCTAAACTGGCCCTACAAACTGCCTATTTGAACAGTAGAGCCCATTCTGATGAACTGTATCTTGCTGATCAAATATACATATACAGCAGGGGCGGACTGGCCATTTGGAAACTCTGGCACTGCCCGAGGGCCCGGGCTCAGTAGGGGGCCCCAAAAGATGCCCCTGGTACCTTTTTCCTAGGCTTTTTTGAGTTTGGGCAAGGACACAGGGGCCCCATGATCCCCTATTGCCCGGGGGCCCCATGAGTTGTCAGTCCGCCCCTGATATACAGTATACTGAACTCAGTACATAACAAAAAAATATTTCATTTGTCTGATGCGAATGCAGTTAGAGTTTGCAGGCTAGGGTGAAGTTCTGTTTTTATAAAGGGTCTACAATATCTCACAGAAAGAAAACCTGTAGGTTTTCAGCTTTTTGTTTGAAAACTGTAAACTTCTTTAGCATTTATAAATGGATGGCTATGAAAACAGGCAATTTAGATGCATTCTGTGCTCAGATCTAAAGGTTATTTTTTTATTTATGATGTTCCATTTTAAACTTCTTTGCTGTGTTTCACTTATGTTGTATTATATTGTATAAAAAGAATCAAATATTGCTAATAGATTTCACATGAAGGTATATGTATTTTCACTTCCTATAAAGTCAAGTATATCAGTTAGTAAGTAAAACAGATTTATGGCAAGCCCAAGCTGAAAGACTTTTCTAAGCATCTATATTCATTCTTGGGGACTGACATTTTACAGCACCTCTAAAACAATCTCCTGGAAGGTTACGAAACATTTTAGAAATTATTTCTGGCACCATATAACAACTACGTAGCATTTTACAAGCTTGCTTATTGAAGCTTGAATTTATGGATGTCTGGGCTACATATTTTAACAAGCAG